GTTGTGTACAAAGTCTGTGGAGAGTCGAGAATTTGTTTTAAGTGTTTTCCAACAATTTGGAAATGTTTCTCAGTCCCAGATTCATGTCTTATCATCATTTTTACAATGACTGACATTCATTGAGATGATATATGAAGAAAAAAAAGTGGCGTCAGGTTGCAGCATTCTTTCCACGGTGAGCATTGCATTTCATCTTCGATAGGTTCCCCTCTTCCAATGTATTTATCACAAACAAAAATGCAAAATACAGTACTTATAAAAACTTACTCCCTACCCCTTTTTTCCATCCGAATTCCGGTTGATAGCTCCATGATCAGAGCGCCATTGGCATTAATAAAAAATTCTTTTGATATTTGTTGCCTCATTCAATCTTCATGGCATGCACATGCAAATATAAATGCAACTGTTATGAATTGTTTTCCAGATTATTCAGGGTGTACAGGAACAATATGAGCTGGCAGCGTCCACCTCAGATCAGGAGGGTTCAGCAGAAGCATTACCCACGGTAAAAAAAATAAGATACTCATCACAAGTGATAAATAAATAATCACCTTTTTATTCTGTGAAATTGTCGAAGACAAGATAAACACCAAACTCGTAACAAATCAAATAAAGGCTGATCAAAATATAAAAAAACATTCCTTTTTTTTTTCAATATACAACCCATAACAGGATCAACCAATTCCACAATACGCAACCAGCGGAACCCAGACAGAACGGAGACTAGTCATCGAGCATGTTTGCAAAATAGACATATATCCCAGCACCGTAAAGCAGCACTTTGTACGCTCCAAACGATGCCAGACTAACCCCAAGAAATTTTCGGTGAGGAGTAAAGGTAAGCATGTTGTCTGGGTTTTTTTTCTGTGTGGGAAAAAGTAATTAAATGGGCAAACGGGAGCCAAAATATTTTTTTTAAAAGAATTTATACATTAACACACATTTTCTGGGATTTAGGCATACAAACACGTCACCGGGGCCATTCAAAACGCGTCCAGTGCCAACTGGTGAAAGCGCCAAGGCTTCAGTTACTGAGTGCTGCACCCCCTCGGTCACTCCAAGATGTCACATATGACGAAGTAGAGGAGAGTGACAGCACAGACAGTGACTCCTCTAGTTCAAGCGACAGCTACAAACCTTCCAGTGCCACGTCATCAGACTCCGACTTCGATACCAGGTTGGTTTACAGAAATATCAAAACCCACCGTTTCTTAAAGTTAGCAATCTCGGCATACTCGTACATCATTTCAGTACTGACTCTGTTTATTAAAACAAACACAAACATGTAGAATGTTTGCAAAGACAGACACATTTTATGTACTGTAGTATATTAATCCACTCTTATAGTGAAGGATAATGTACGTGCATTCAGTGAATACTTTTTAAAAGACAGTAAAATCCCTGCCATATTTTATTAAGTTTGTTTTTTGGAATGCAACAAATTTCCAGAGGAATGAATTGTAAGTGCTTTTATTTTTGGTACAGCACCGATGAAGAGGTAGAGGACAACTGCGGTGCATTACAGGCAAAGAAGTGGCTTGTTTTCCAAAGCAGTCTGTTAGAGCTGTTTTCTACTTGTCCAAAATGTGCCGGGCCAAGTAGAAAGACGTGTTCTCGTCCTCATGGTGGTACGATGGTGCAGGTGATACAGTCCTGCAAGACCCGATCATGTGGCCATACCCGACGTTGGCGCAGTCAGCCCATGGTCGGTAATACTCCTGCAGGCAACATCCTAATATCGTCGGCCATATTGATGTCAGGAGCATGCATTCGCAAATTCTTGCAGGCCCTAACATCGATAAATGTTGGCATGATTTCCTATGCCACATTTTTCATCCATCAACGAAGGTTAGCTGAAACGTTTTGCTTTTAATCTAAACACGCTGTTAGTAACTTGAATGATCTTGATCTCCTAGTGATCATTTAAAAGGCATTTTTTTTTTTTTTGGTTTTTTTGGGTTTTTTGGGGGGGGGGGTTCAGACTCTGTTAAGTAACTTTTTTTGTGATTTTACATATTTTTCAGATTCCTTCAACCTGCCGTTGTTCACATTTGGAATGAACACCAGAATTCCCTAATACCTACCAATACCACCGCAACAGCCAATAAAGGTGTTTTCCTTGGCATGGACATGAGGGCTGACTCCATGGGCCATTCTGCCAAGTTTGGCTTCTACAGTGTGATGGATCTTTCTCAAGGAAAAATCCTCCACATTGAACTTGTCCAGGTAGAGTAGACTTTTATGTGTGAAATTTATTTTTGCATTTACATACAGTTAGTTGATTTCTTTCAAATTACAATATGCGATCATAGTGGTTGATGAGCGAATGTGTGGTTGACTCTTTTTGAATGTGTGTGTTCCATGATGCTTTAGCAATTTGTTTTTAATTTCAGAAAAATGAAACAAGCAGCAAGTCTAACTTGATGGAGAAGGAGGGACTGATACGAGCAAAACAATGGCTGGATCTGAAGAAAGTGAAAGTTGAGACAATTGTGACCGACAGACACCGGCAAATAACCAAATACATCAGAGAGGAGCTAAGCCCACAAGGGATTAAGCATAACTTTGACATCTGGCACGTTGCAAAAGGTGCTAGCTTAAAGCCATGAATGTTATTCTCCCCCTCCCCCTGAATCAAATGTTTCTATTGATGTGCATTCAAGGAATAACTACAAATAAAGGCAATTAGAAAGAGTTGCAAATCATATTTAGTTCACTTCCAGGATAGATTTTGGACTTTTGATTTTGGACAATGACATGCAAGAAGTGCTCCAACCTTATGATAAATGATTCAATTCACGTGTGCATGGTTTAGCATGAACATAATTCCACATGACCTGCAGCGTATATGTATCCGCGCATACTCTTAATGCTGTGTGATCTGAACATTGTTACTATTGTTTTCCCCATTCATTGTTATTGTTTTCATAGTGAATAATGCTCGTTTTGTTTAAGGTCTGATGAAAAAACTGATGTCAGCAGCTCGATCCTCTGGCTGTGAGGTTATCAGGGAGTGGATTCCCGGGATAGTGAACAATCTGTATTGGGTTGCTTCATCCACTCCTGACGGCGATGCTGGTCTTATGCTTGCCAAGTTCGACAGCATTAATAATCACATTTTGGGTATCCATGTACACGAGAACCCCCTCTTTCCAAAGTGTGCCCACAGCATTTTGGAGGGAAGAAAGTGGCTGCAAAGAGGTAAATGTTCTTTTTCTTCTTTCATTGTATTAATGTCCGTCACCCAATTTCCTGCAATTTCATTCTAATCAGAGCCTCACAAATGGAAAGGAATTTTTTTTTTTATTATAAGTAACATGCACATTGAGCATATAAGTTTAACTTCTCATCATCATGGAAACTAAATGTTTCCAAAAAAGTGTGGAACTTTATTCATACCTGGAATTGCATGCTACAGTAATCCATGTAGGGTCCAAGCCAGCAGTCAAAATTGAGGAAATCCTTGTAAACCGCTGGATCAGGAAAGATGTGAAAATGTTGTCGCCATCTATGCAGACATCGTCGGTGGAGGCCTTTCACTCAGTCATTAACCAGTTCGCCCCCAAGATGTTTGCCTACTCATATGAAGGCATGCTATGCAGGTAATTTACTTATGCTTTTCTTTCAACCTATCCATAGGATAATTATTGGTATCATTGGTTTTTCCTTACACATGCACTTGCCTCCACCTTGACTGTGGCTCTTGATATTTTGTTCTATAGAATATATCTTGCAGCATTGTACTTCAACGAAAATGCAAACAGGAGTCAGGCAACTGGAAGAGATGGTAAACCTGCCTTTGTCATCGAATATCCCAGAGCAAAGCAAGACACTGGAGGATATAGTGTGAGGAAGATCAAGGTTGCTTGCACACACGGTAAGTCATTACATGACCCATGTTTTGTCCAGAACAATGTAAATGTGCAGCTGACTCATATTAAACAGGAGTTTCTTTTTGTTATTACCAAAGCAAGGCTCTTTGCAAATATTAACACTTCCTATAAATCTTTCATGAAGTGTCGTACATGTATATGCACATTAAACTGCCAATTTAACCATATTACAAACAGGATTCCCATTGTGTTAATCAGTCGAAACCATTTAATATTGCATGTAGATGAATGTCACTATTTCGCTTTCACACCAGATTTCAGCAAGCGCATCATTGAGCGAGTGCTTACCCTGTGTGAGTCTGGGGAAGACACACGAGGGAACTACCAGAGGCTCACTGCCAATCCTGGACACCTGACCAAAAATGCGAAGCGACCAGACAAAGAAACTGCTGTGGAGACCTTCGTTTCGCGGTTTGGAAAATCGGTTCTCCCTGTGGGTAGACATGATGGGTGTGAAGACCTGGTTGTACCCGACCGAGTGGAAGAGACGAACAAAAAAAAAGAAAAAGAACAAGAACAAGAACAAGCAGAAGAAGCAGCAGAAGAAGAGCAAAAAGAAGGAGAAAGCAGACAAAAGACCGCCTGAAGAAATGGATGACGGAGAATGCTCAAACAAGAAAAAAAATAAAAAATAAATGTACATGTACATGTATATGTACTGCATACGTACTTCAAATTCGAATGAGACATTTTCTTTGAAGTACATGTACTGGGAAATCAACTGTTTTCATGATTTATAGTTGACCATGTATATAACATCGATTATTAGCAACCTAAGGCCCCAGATCATATTCAGGGTTTTCAATTCTTATCATTGGTGCTGAAAACCATTATATTTAATACCTGTATATTGACCTTGGTAATCGAGAACTGAGGACTCTTTCCGAATGAGACAGGTGATTTTTTTTAAAATTAGTACTTGTATAAATTATTAATGTGTCTCTCATATTTTGAAACGGAAACAATTTTGGAATAGTATTCCGTAAATTTCTTTGGATTCTCTTATATTATGTGAATGTCATTCATTGTTGTATAAAAAAAGGAACAAAAACTTTTGGATCACTCAAAAAATGTCAATAAGCAATATTGCAGTGAAAGCATTTTTTTTATTTGGATTCAAGAGCAATGATCAATACAATTTTAATCATGATTGTACAACATGTACTTCTATTCATCTAAATCTGGGTATTTAAAACCTTTGTAGTTCCCGTCTGGTGCAGGGTAAGCAGCTCGTGTCTTGTTCATTATACATGAAGGCAAAGGTACACGGTTTTGCCTTCCCAGGAACCCCCAGCACCATCTGACGACCTGACGATAGGACACGTGTCGGTATTTGCTGTATTAAAATATATGTATATTGAAAAAAGTTAGTGTGAATATATAGCTAATGTATATATATATACATGTATGCTTCTTTGAGTAAAAGTTATTGGCATTGCAATACTAATAAACAGGGATGGTCTTGTACTGATTGTTTCAGTTTACAAGTGCAACATGTACATGGATTTCCTTTTGAATGATACGTGAACATGTACTTCAACAAAAAACTTCCTTCCAATATGAAAAAAAAACATGATACATTTTGTTACTTTTTATGAAGTTTATTCTTTTTTATTACAAAAAGTCATGTACAATATACATGTATACCGGTACCTTGCCCTGTCACCCTCCACAGCACGTGCACCGTATTGCTGTCTGTACTGATAGTACGCAGTCTCTAGTGTTCCTGGATTCAAGCAGGTGGCCTCGTACCATGGATGGTCCTTAAAACAACTCAGAGTGTCCGGATCAACTCCTGTGTGTTCAATTTTTTGCTGGATGGCCGGAGCCTCCTTGCAGCACAGACAATTCTCCACCGACTCCATAATTGTACAGTTTCCACAAGAACACCTTTGGTTAAAAAAAGGAGATACAAATGTATCTTGTATTTGTGGCGTGAAGTTGAGGAAAAAAAAGAAAGTGGCGTAAAAATTTGTCATGATGGTTGGATTTCCCTTGAATAATGCCAGAAATACCTACATGTAGGCCTAAGTGAACATATTAATTCAAAAAATGACTCATTTTAATAATCAACATGCTGGTCCTTTTGTCCTAAATCAACATACACTGACATAACAGGATAACTACATCATAAACAGTTCCAATAGAATTAGAAACTTTCATGGATTTATATGGGGTACGACTAAGTGTAAACCAGAAATTTTCATAAATTGTAAGTGGTACGGGTGTGAATAAAAACTCAAGATAATGCTCACAATTTCGTTTTGTGAAACAAGTTGGACCGTTGGAAGAAGAGTATGGAAATAAAGGTGTTGGCAATTAAAATACTCATGATCAAAATAATAACAGGCTAGTACCAATCCGTATTCTGAAGACGAACTCGCCGATCATCGTCTGCCTGCGTCCCATCTTGCCCGTCAGCTTCGCCGTCATTTGCACCCCGCTCCTGGAGCGGCTCGAACCGGTACGGTTGAGCTCCACGAACGACGATTTCATCGTCGTTAGATTGGACATAATCACTGTCACTATCATCGCTAGATGAACTGCTTTCCGTGAAATTTCCTTCTGAATCGATGCTAAAATTTTCCCAAGAGCTATTATCGCTGTCGCTTTCTGCCATGCCATTTTCTCGCGTGTTTGTCGGACTAAACAACGTACATGTACATGTACGTTATGCACACAAACGTACGTACACAGCGCGTGCGATGATGTGCGTTCAGGAACCCGACATAGTCAGCCGGTCGAGGTCGATCGTCTCCCAAACATGACGTCACGCACAGACACTGCGTGTGAAGGCCGTGACCTGTGTTTTCGAGTTTCGCGATAGGAAGAGCTTTTCAGAAATTGCATTTTTTTGTCGATTTTACAAAAAAATTCATTGTAGTTAAGTGTTGAAGTATTAGTATGGATAAATAACAATCAAAATCAGTAAAAAGTAGGGATCGAAAAGATTCATTTGAGTTCCGCTTTAATCAACCGTTCCCCATTGTGCCAATCATGTTGTCCAGCTACACGTTACATTATTGTACAGTGCAGGTCACATCGTATTTTCTTAGAAATATTTTGCTCGTTAGTCAGTGGCTGGGATCCCTTCTTTTATATTAACTTAAATGCCTATGTTAGGCAATTGTCGACTCAATTCTTACTGGACTATTACTTTAACACGAATAACACCAACTTTTTGTCATGTCTTTCATCTAATGTCATTTTATTTCAACTTTGCACAGTGTTTCTTGGGTGTTCACTCAAAACTTTAATATTGTTAGTTGTATTACAGGTCCACCATGGGACGGAGAAAAACTGATGGCACAAATCCATCATTAAAAGGTGTGTTGGGGAAAATACATGTTTATCTTCAAATGTTTTTTTTTGTAATCAGTCACTCAGCATGTTTTCAAAATGTACTGCCATTTTTTCAGATCTTGTTAGTATGCCAAGCATTAAGGCCCAAATGCCCGCAAAAAATTACAAAATAGCGACCCTGCCTGCTTCCTTTTTACACAGCTGCATTCCTGTTTTCTTCCCTTTTCCTCTTTTTTCCCCTCTCTTTTTTTTTCACCACAAAAGTCCATAAAAAATGGAAAGGAAGAGAAGAACTGCCTTTTAGTCGATGTATGAAACATATTAAATCTTTTGGTGGACTGAAATGTTGGCAGAAGCCATCTTGAAAAAGGGGGCCATCTTGGAAATACAGCCTGGTAGGATCTATAAATGGAAGTGCCCGCCTTCTCATGGTTTTTTTTTTTCCAAATGAGAACATGCATACATACGTGTACATAAAGTGATCGCAAGAGAAGGCTCATCTGGATTAAGGTACACATGTATGATAAAATTGTCCCGAATGCATAGTTTCCATTTAAACAGAAAGCATATGAGAGTTAGCCACCACCAACATCACTGTTTTTACCCACAAGTAGCATTGGCAGCATGGTCACTTCGCAGTCAAAATGGCACACTTTGTGTAGGTGATGTGTATATGTAAAATTCCCTGCCATAATGCTTTCGCCCCACCAACGCTGCTACCCTGTATTCATTACCCCTCTCCTGTCAAAATAAGGTATTATTAACCATATAAAAACATTTTCACAGCGTTAAAACATCAGTCAGAAATATCAAGAAATTTGGTCAGGGAGACCAAGCATTGGTTAAAAGTGGTAAAGGTTCTGGATGAAAACAAAAAGGCTTTGATAATTGTGTTCACCGTCTTTGTATTTTACTGTTTCCAATATGTGTTGATTATGTTTGTATTATTTTATATTTTCAGTTTTGTAACAGTGTTCCTTTTGTGATCAAGATTATTCTTGTTAGACTGAACGTTGCATATTTCCTGACTGCCTAAAAATGAAATTTTGTCTTGCTGGAAAAATAAACTGTTCCGTTTATTCTGAATCTCCTTTTACAATTAAGCAATTGTGAGTTGCTATTTTTAAATTAAAATGTGGTTAATTTTTGGTTTCCCAAGTCATGACATTGTTCCCGAATAAGCCCTTCACCTTCATGTGCAAAATGATAGAATTCTGTTCAAACAGGTAAAGTCAAATAGCTAACACTTCTTTAACTAGATGATTTAGGCCAAAAAAAAGTCTCCGGTTTCTGGTATGGAGCTTGCCCAAAAAGTGGTGCGGCGACGCGGCTTTTTTTTTTTTACCTGTTTTTTTTTGCTTCAAATGTCGGCTGATGACTGCAAATGGTGCCCGACTAAACTTAGTGCAAATATTATGGGAGACCAGAGAGGCCACATAAAGCTTATTCTCGATCATAACCCCATCTAAAAACACGTTAAAATTGTGCAGCAGCAGAATTCCAGTCAAACCAGTGAGTTTGGCGGTTTTGAGACATCATCTTTCATTGAAAAAAAAAACCACCTTTTCATTTTGCCGACGCGCATGGCTACGGCGACGCGCGCGCATACCAGAAACCGGAGACTTTTTGTTTTGGCCTTATACTAATTTGTTTCACAATATGGTTGGCCATTTTACTTCTTATAGCAGGTTTTATTTGAATTTTTGCATTTCATTTCAGTAAGGCGAGCCCTCAAATTAGATTCCCTCCCCAGACCGTTCGGGGTTGAGCCCGCCCAGTATGTTGAAGGGATTGGGACCTTGCATGGAACCGATTGGCCTGGATTAACTCCACGAGGCTTCTGCATCATGGCTCTGGCTCATCACAAAGGAACCAATTATCGACGCGCTTATCCTTTAGTAGCCAACAATGACTGTGCGCTTCAATTGATGTTGCCTATTGTGGAAACCCTGAGTCACCAGTTTGGACCGATTGGGGCGTCACGCTTCAGTAACCGGGTGTCTTCTGGCTTCGTACCGATTGGGGTGAAAGAAATAAGCATACCGGACCCGGTACCCGAACGGTCTGTTATCTGATGGCTCGCCTAAATACTAATTGTTTACATGATGATGAAATTGAACGAGTTCTGACTATATGTATTTCACAATTCTAAAACTGTTATTTTCTCCTATTAATGTTGTTTATTTGTCGTTAGTTTTTTAACCTATTATTTTATCAGGGAATTGGTTTAAGTTGGACTGTATGATCTTTTCCACAACCCCTGATACTGTAAGAAATTGTAATAATAGTCACAATAATAGAAATAACCATCTTTTTCTTTTGGTTCCTGTTCAGAATCGCTGCAGCAAAAACATCCTCATCTGCTTGGCAAGTTTTTGGAAGATGTTGCTTCGGCCAAACATTCGTTTCACCCCCCATCGATGATATTTCAGTGCCGCCTCAACCAGCAGGTCAGTCAGATGGCTCCACAGCATGCACAGTCAATGACACCCCATGCAGCCTCAACCAGCAGGTCAGTCAGATGGCTCCACAACGTGCACAGTCAATAACACCCCCATGCAGCCTCAACCAGCAGGTCAGTCAGATGGCTCCACAGCATGCACAGTCAATGACACCCCATGCAGCCTCAACCAGCAGGTCAGTCAGATGGCTCCACAACGTGCACAGTCAATAACACCCCCATGCAGCCTCAACCAGCAGGTCAGTCAGATGGCTCCACAACGTGCACAGTCAATAACACCCCCATGCAGCCTCAACCAGCAGGTCAGTCAGATGGCTCCACAACGTGCACAGTCAATGACACCCCCATGCAGCCTCAACCAGCAGGACAGTCAGATGGCTCCACAACGTTCACAGTCAATGACAACCCCATGCAGCCTCAACCAGCAGGTCAGTCAGATGGCTCCACAACGTGCACAGTCAATAACACCCCCATGCAGCCTCAACCAGCAGGTCAGTCAGATGGCTCCACAACGTGCACAGTCAATGACACCCCCATGCAGCCTCAACCAGCGGGTCAGTCAGATGGCTCCACAACGTTCACAGTCAATGACAACCCCATGCAGCCTCAACCAGCAGGTCAGTCAGATGGCTCCACAGCGTGCACAGTCAATGACACCCCCATGCAGCCTCAACCAGCAGGTCAGTCAGATGGCTCCACAACGTTCATAGTCAATGACACCCCCATGCAGCCTCAACCAGCAGGTCAGTCAGATGGCTCCACAGAATGCACAGTCAATGACACCCCCATGCAGCCTCGACCAACAGGTCAGTCAGATGGCTCCACAACGTTCACAGTCAATGAAACTCCCATGCAGCCTCAACCAGCAGGTCAGTCAGATGACTCCACAACGTGCACAGTCAATGACATCCCATGCAGCCTCAACCAGCAGGTCAGTCAGATGACTCCACAACGTGCACAGTCAATGACACCCCCATGCAGCCTCAGCCAACAGGTCAGTCAGCCAGATGGCCCGACAGGTGTCTTGATGGATTATCTGTTTAATGCAGTAGATGACTTTCAATCCCGCAAGCATACCAACTCATCAAGGTCTTCATGTGTCCGACTCTGATGCAGAAGAAACTGATTTAGATATGTCCATTGAGTTTCCGCTGCGACTTCAGAATATGGTTGTATTTCTAGATGATCAGCATCCTGTTGAGCTACCGGCAAGTCCACCGGAATTTCAGGATTCATCAAGTGATTCACAAGATACATGTAGTGATTTAACCTATGTCCCTATGGATTCAGATTTCAGTTCTTGTGAAGAGGACTCGCCTGCTGGTTCCCCTAAGAAACGACTCATTGAAGAAGAGCTTGGCGCAATTGATCACACACAACAAGATGATCTTAACAATGTTGAGCCCACCTTATCGTGACAATGAGTCAGATGATGCTGATAAAGATGATCTGCGTCCAGATGAGAAACAATGCGACAAAAATATTGGCCAGATCTATATCAGAAAGATAGCAAAGTCAAGCACAACCAAATTGGGGAAGAGAAATAAGGACACGAGGGTCTACAACACAAAGCATGCCTGCTTGTTTTGCTCGAAATTAGTGACCAATTTATCTCGCAGCATTTGCTTGCTGTCCATCGCACCAAACAGGAAGTCAGACAGATATCCAAGACAGCATTTGAGGAAAGCGACAGCCCGCAATTAGGAAAGAAAAAGAGAGAAAAAGAAAGAAGCAACTAGATTTGCTGCGAAACAAGGGCGATCATATTCACAACTTGCGAGTACTTCGCCAGAGGAAGAGTGAAATTATCTTGGCAAGAAGACAAAAGAGTTGTTTTGATGTGTCTCTGTATGGGCCATGCCCACGATGTAGTGAGTGGGGACTGTTGTCTGTACTTGTTCGGCACCAATCAACATGTACTGTCAATGATGAAGACTATGCAAGAATGACGAAGGGAGAAATAATACTCCAGTCAAAGGTTCTGTCGGGGGCTGTTGGCAGCATAGCAAGCAAGGCTGTAGTGAATGAGGTTTTTGGCATAATGAAGGATGACCAAATTGGGGTTGAAGCGAAGAGTGATCCTCCCATCATTGCCTTAGGCAATGAATGGATGGTCCGCAATCTTGGAAACCGCATAATGCGCAAATACTACGCATCTAATGTCATGCGCCTGGCTAGCCGTTTGAAGATTCAGTTGGACAAACTGGCTACGCCAACAGATGGTCCAGGTCTTGCCAACTACCTGACACCCAAGTACTTCGACGATGTTTTAAAAGCATCATATGTGGTGGCAAAGCAGGGTGAAGGTGATGAAGAAGATATGGAATCACCGTCTAATCTGGTGAAGTTGTCTTACCACATCAAGAGGCTGACCAACATCAAATTAGCTGAGGCTTTGGCCAGTGGAAAAACCCAAGCTCGAACAGACAGCAAGGACTTCTTGAGGCTCATGACCCTGCGGTTTACCACCAAGGTAGCCACAGTAGTTTGGAGGAACGGAAGTATGGAGTGAGGAAACCGCTACCACTGCCAAGCGACGTGCGAGCACTATCTGACTTCATTGCGCAGGAGCTTCAAACCGTAGATGAGAAGGACCACTCATATGCCAACTACAGCAAAACAGTGAGGCTTGTCCAAACCAAACTAATATCCTACAACCGGAGGAGATGTGGGGAAATACAAGCCATGCGGTGAGTATAAATTCCTCCAAGTTATGTAATTAATGCTTGTTCACCAGTTTTTGTTTAAGTTAGAAAGTGTTTTGTTTGATATTGTTTGGATTTTGCTGAGCCCAATTTGGCAGGGCTAATAAGAAATTATGTTCATCAAAGTATTTCAGTGTCAGTAAAATTAAACCGAAAACCAATGCTGATTTTATGCGAGTTTGGCTTAACATAATTCTGTGCTCGTGAAACATTTGCTCTGAGTAGCTCTGTAACCATATATTGTACTGTGAATGCAATCAGTTGACTATTTCTGAGGCATGTAGTTCTGATATTCCAATGTATAGATTGTCCAGTTATACCCAGCGGACCACCAACATAAGCGATGTGGAAGCCGAGTTAATGTCCCTGACAAAGACCGAACAGAATCTAGCGGAATCACAAGATGTGGTGGCAATTCGTGGGAAGGTTTGTGAACATGTATTTACCATAGAGTTATATTAAATTACCAGACCACTAACTCCTCATCCCTATGTGCAGAGATAATTTGAACCCCTTCTGAACGCAGACGGTTTAGTTTTATGTGCGTGTAAACATAATGCAATCAGATGGATGGAATTTTGCAGGTGAACTCTAAATGTAAAGCGCATACGCAAAAACGTAATGGTTAAAAACCGTACGGCAAAATCAAATTGAACAGCGGATACGCGCAAGCGTTTGCATTTTTTGCGCAGAGCAAAATGAACGCTCATTGTTTGATTGTTTCATTATACATTTTTTGGGGACGTACCAATGACGCAGCTGTATAGAATAATAATACAGATATACAAATAGCCGTACAAAAACTGCACAAATTTGTGAGTTTTCCATAGGTTTGTGCCCGAACATGAATGCACCCAGCAGGCATCACACTGTACATAAGTCAAAGCTATAGCTCTATTGTTTGACTTGTTACTGTCATATATGTATTTAGCCCCAAGTTGCCAAATTAACTTGCAACAGCAGAAATGTTTTTTTTTTCTGCATTCTTACAAAAGTGTTCCAGAGCTTGTCGAATTCAATGTAAAATGTCTTTGTCGCACAGGGTTTGTGTAGGTTTGGTGTTTTGGCTTGTACAGTGTATCTGACGTGCCCTTTGTGGTTGCACTTCTTTGCTCTACAGACTCTGTGGAAATGGGGGAAACTCAAGCATTTTAATAGTTTGCATGCATAGTGTTACTATTACAAACAGCTTCTTAAGTTGATGTAATTGCCACATACTCCATTCTTTCTTTTAGACCGGCAGGCAAGTTCCAGTTATTATTCCAGTTGTAGTGAAACCTGCCTTACAGTTCATAACAAGAGCTGATGTCAGACAACATTCTGGAGTACAACCAACAAATCCGTACATCTTTGCGAGTTATGGTATGTTGTGTTTTACAAACACTCTTAAAATAAAGGACTTCAAATGATCAAAGAAAGCTTCACTGAACCAGTATTTGATGAAGACCACCAACATAGGGCTGTTTTGCTCAGTCTGGTTTGGTAACCTAGGGCTCTCGGATTCAAATCGCAGTTCAGTCACGTTTTCTTTGCTCATTTGAAATTGAAACAGGACAGTTCCGTGTGTTGATGAGTGACAAACACGAGCAGACTTTTAGCTTTGATTTGACACCAAAATTGTTGTGATTAGATCATTTCACCCTCCCCCATCAGGTGCTGGTGTTATTCGTGGGTATGATGCTGTTGTCTCCAACAGTTAATAAGGTCATTCAACATGCGTAAATACATGGCCACCATGACACAGGTAATGTAAATATTAGTTGCATCTATCCCTCTCGCCTTTATTTCTCTGTTCGTGAGCCTGCCCCACTCTTGACCTCCGTCGGAACTTCCTCCATAACCTAGATCACCCTTTTAAAACGAATGATAAACGCTCTGAGATTGTGTTAACTTACCCTGTTGTATTCAATCATCTAGGAAATTTATTGATGATCTCATGCCAAGATTCTGCAGCTTTGGCATGAGGTGATGTTAATGGATCATATTCAATGCAGATGAAAGTAAACGAATGTTGCCTGTGCATAGCAGCTGATAGACAATCTTGATAGAATGTTGCTGAATACCATCGACTAAAGTCAAAATAACTAGCACCGGGCAAATAGTTTCAAATAGTTGTACATTTTAAAAGTGAAGTTGCACTTGGTTGAACTGTCTTGGCAAGTGTTTATTCTACATGCCAAGCACAGCAGCTCAGCATTGTGTCATGACATCTCTTCATTAGTATACAAGTGGGTTAATACAGTAACCTGCTTTATTTTTAATTCACAGTCCTTTGACATGAATCCTCAAGAGATGGAATGGGTGTGCGACCATTAAGGTCACTCTCTTGACATTCACAGGCAGCACTACCGCGCTATGTCGAGCGTGTTGGAGCGCGTCCAAGTTGCTAAGCTTCTTTTGATCCAAGATAAAAACTTGGTCAGGAGGTACCACGGGAGACGGTTGGACGAGATTCAGCTAGAAGGTAAATTGGAATTAGAACATATCTTCAACTTTTAAAAACAGGCCTAATGCAGTTAGTACAAGACTAAGCTTCTTCTTTTTTCCCCCCTTTTGATAATATTGTCCTCCAATTCTTGTTACCTGCATGGCTTGATTTGTGGTCAAACTGAGTGTACCTTTTTTACTGACAGAAAATGAGCCTGTAATGTGCATTGTGTATGCAGCACTCGGCGGTAAAAAAGTGCTTGGTTTTGGTTTTTTCTTTTTTTAGAGCTTGTGTATGACTCTGAAGAGGCTTAAGGAGATGCAACTGACCCTTCTCCTAGTGGGGACAATCCACCGCCTATTCAGGAAGACGAGGAGGAACCTACATGCTCCATGCCAATTGAAGACTTCATCCCTGACTTTGAAGACGAACTAGTCGGTAAGAATTAAACTGACAGTTTTACATCTCATATTAGTTTACCCTTGCATGCAAGGGAACTATTGATGAGGTAGAAAATGTGTACCATGTATACAAATGACATACCTGACAAACATACTTCTGTGTAACATAGGAATGAACACAAATACAAATACTGAACAAATGTTGTGAAATTAGGTTGACAAAGCAATCCTTGACTTGTCAGATTTTTCACAGTTTGATGGCAAATATGAAAATTCTAGTTTCACCAGCCAGGTACAGTGCATTGTATTGTTTAAAACTAATCTTTTGGGGGAGTCTGGTGTGTGAATTGGAACCTTAGTATGTATGGATCAAGTTCATTTGAAGTTAAATGCGGTTTATTGTATCATGTAATGGCTGGGATCATGTGGATTTGCCCAAAATAGATATGTAATATTGCTTTTGGTTGTTCCTTGTGTTTTTTAGACACAAAACAGAAACAAAAACAAGCTGGGAAAAAACGTCCAGTCATCAACAGACACAATTGGACACAGCAAGAGATCAGGGAGGTCCGGGAGGTATTTCAAGAATATTTCGCACGCGACAAGACCCCAGGGCAAGCAGCAGTACTGAAGGGGATGGCCAAGAGCAAAAAATTGGGGGGGAATCTAGATGCTGCCGGCCAACAAAATTAAAAAGAAGGTGTCGTGGCTGCGATTGCACTCTTCTGGCTAACCACCAGCCGGAAAAGTGCACAGTATGGTTTCCGGCAACTAAACTTGACAGCTGGCCAGTCTCAGTTTTAGTTTGTGGATACCCGCGGGCAACTAGCCATTTTTTTAATTTAATTTCGCGCCTTGTCCTTGTTAATTGCCTCATGATTTATCGGGCGATTCCAACCGAAGTGAGTCAAGATTCCAAGTTTTGAAATTGCAAATCCAAAGACAAATTCAATTGTTTATTCTCAGATATCTCTTTGTAATACAAACAGGAAAAACAATTCTTAAATTACTGTTCAAGGAAAAATACTCCACTTTCTATGAACATGTCAATCATTCATTTCATTTTGGGAAAACTGTCATTTTGAAAAAAACACTGAGCTCAACATGTTAAATAATTTTTCATGTTAAACGACAGTTTGGCAAAATAGCACAGTGTCACATCCATAAAATATGGAAACATTCTTTTGTTTTTCGAAACAGCTGTGTGGATGTCACAAACGCAGTGCTGGAATCGCCCAATATTAAAGTAGGCCTTTGATGACTTTAAAGTTCAAGCAGTTTAAAACTTGTTATAAGTGTTTTTAATGTTTATTGTTACGCATGTACCTGCAACTTCCTCCACCCCCTCTCAAATGCTTCCCAACGATGATTATGAAGATTGTCACTTTTTAAAATGACATATCCCTTACCCAGGAGCAGAACAATTTGTACACATCTGATTGAGTTGGCATTTGAAAAAGAGAACAGTGACATATTTCCATTCCTAGCAATGAAGATGCCAGAAGTGTTTTTGAAGGAGGTGTTGCTGGGGTGCAGATGACAGGTACATAACATTTGTGGATTACAGTGGTTTAAAGTTAGTTAAAATTATAACGAGTTTAAAAGACTTAAAAGCATGGTTTTTTATACCTTATTCGTAATACTTGTATTAAATACCTTATTCGTGAGCAAGAGGTGAATTCAAATTGGTCATAGTTTTTGCATACGCGCATATGACTGTCGCTTGGGGATGCAGTGCAATGGTCATATTCATCGTTGATATGAGCACAGAACCACCTCATGGGTTAATACTTCAAGCTCCTGCGTGCAAACATCTTCCTGGTCGCACAGGCACATCTAGCAGCATGCCGAGCTAGCTGATGCGGAACTCAACATATAGGAGAACATGATTTTTTTTTGACATCATGATTTGTTAGAAATAGAAAGTCTAGCTCCAGTTTTGACAAACTCAAACTCATGTACATTGTAAGCCCAGGTGTTCCAGAGTTGCACAAAACCATAATATTCCTAACATTTGAAATACGTTTATGAACAGTTTGACGTCTAAAATAGATGAGATCAGTGATGCTATATTAGCTGACATATGAGAGAGGTAACATGCTCATCTGGGCTAGGCTATTTGTTTAGCAATAGTCAACAAAACTTTCAATAAATGGGAAAACATTCAGGAAGGCCCTTGGACATTGTTTACACAAAGGAAATTCTTGATTATCAATACATGTACAATGTACTGGTATTTTGTCATTTTGGGCAACTGGAACATTCGGTTTACATGTCTGAAACTGAAATGTGTTTGGATCCACTCGAATTAGGCGTGACTCTGGAATGCCAGTTTGAACCAGGGGTAATCGATTTTAATCTGTCTGAATGTAGACTCCAATGGCGTCTTGGTGTAACATCTGTGTGTATACAGCAAGGCCTACAGAAGGATGGTTTTCTTTTGGATATAACAAGTGAGATTGCACATTCAAAAATTTTATTTGACAGCAAAAAAAGCAAAGGTTCTTAAATTCCCTGTGATTTTTTGTTTGACTGGCTAGTGACAATCCCTCATCAGTAGGACAATTGACAGTATTAAAGGCATGATCATTTTCTTCCTCCTTTATTTCTTTTCACTAAATGACCATGTTACACTATTTTCAGAGGTCCATACGCACAGAAAAAGATTCATGAAAAAAACATTTGTTTCCTTGGCACTATCCCATATTCATCTGAAAAGTCACACAAGCATACCCCTTGGAAACGCCCAATAAAGACAATTTATTGAGGTACATGTTTCTCATGACTGTGAATGTAGTTTATCCTGTGTTATATTCAGGGATATTGCATAGGTCATTATCAGTGGCATAGCGACAGGCTCCCCCCCTCAAAAAAAACCCCAACTTGCTACACTGGTCGTATTACAGATGAAAAATACCCCCCCCCCCCCCAGTTACTGCAATCAATACACATGTACCCATAATTTGTAGAATGACATTGCTGCATTCTAAATTTAATTCTTTTTATGGATTTCACAAACATTGGAATAGAAACATCTGAAACACAAGCCGTACAGGGTAGATTGACGGTATCTTATTGATCTTTTATTATTCTTATTCTGCATGTGGGTGTTTACATAAATGTGGAAGCCATTGTGTGACATTAGGGTCAAATTTTCAAAATAACCAAATTAAATTCAGCTTCACATGGTTTTGCAGTCTAGGGTCTATATTTTGTCAAAAACAAAACCATTTTTCTGTAACATGACCCTTTTCAGAGTAGCAACATGATAAACTAGCATATGGGACACAAATTTCACCTGTAACAGTGACACCAAATTGTAAATTTCTTTTAGAGCTCTCACCAGGTTATTGTTCAGGTATGGTAAAGACATGTTGCCTTTAAGCAATTATTTGTAACACATATAAGTTAAAAAAACTTTAACACTATCCTTGTTCAACATTTGTTGAAAATCAAATATCAAGTTTTAGGAAATTTGACATATTATGATGATTACAAAAATGTAGCTCTCACTTGACATAAAATTATATTATTTTAAGACAAACACTCACTTGTTCTCTAAAAGCAAGTTTGACAGCCAAAACTGCAACTATGAAGAGCAATGAAGATTTACAAACACCACTAGAAAGCATGTTATTGTAAGTAAAGCCTCGTGTTAACCAACATTTCACCTGTAACGCTGACACCAAATAGTCACTGTTACAGAGTGACAATCCTACAACTAACTTATAATAATAGTAATAAATGGTATCAAACCATTTAAACCTTTCTATTTAGTGATAAGCTTGATGGTTTCTACATCAGATACTTGTTTCTGAGACTGGAAGTTTAGTTTGTTATAATAATCATTTCACATGTAACGCTGACACTAACACCAAAAACACTTTTATCACTTTTCTTCACTGTAGTTCTACTTTAACCTGTCTTATGCCAAAGTTTTAATTGTTTTAAAAAACTTAGTCATTATTTTAGCTAAAAACTCAATCATCAATCAAACAGGTGATTTTGCTTCATTGTTTTAGCTGTAACGGAGGTATTTCACCTGTAACGGAGTCAGTGTTGACACCAAACCTTTATTGTAGGCCGGTCAACAGAAATTACAAATTCATAATGTATAGCTAAAAGTGATACCATTTAAAAGATCTCTCCAAGGCGATTCCAAAACTGTTTACCTTGTATCTCTGGGGCATACGGATTTCGAGATATGGTGATTTAAAATCTCCGGAAAACGTTGTTTTACTATACCAAAACTCGTTGTTTTGACCAAAAGTGTCAAAATACTGTTTTTTCAAGGCTATAATTTCATATTAATACAATTTAACAAACTTAAAGCAGCCATTCCCTTGAGCAAACATCCCATATATTACAAAAAAAACAAAAAAAAAAGTACCAAAATACACACAATGTAAAATAGAGGGTCTTGAAAATTACAATTTATGCCATCAAACCTGCTTTAGTCATTCAAAAACAAGGAATTTACCCCAAAATTGTGTTTTTGAAGGTAAATTAATTATGGGTTAACATGGTGCATGCTAATTGTTCTGCAGGCTTTGGGTAGAGGTGTGTCTCTATTTTCCTCTTTTCACATCTGGTATGTATGCAATATTCATCATAATTGTTATGAATCACCAAAAAATGAGATAAGTCTCTATATTCATGCGTTTTGAGGATTTCGAAGCTACTTAATATGCAAAAACTGTGTAACAGTAATACTAAATAATGTATTTCCTTGCAAATTGGTACACAGTGGTGTTTTAAGATGCTTATTAAGATGGCATTAATTAAATTGGGCCTTCACCTTTGCTTATGCTACTAATTGGCAGATTACATTTGTCATATGCAAATTAGCTAATTAATATGCAAAAACTGCATAATGTCAGAACGGCATTACGTATTTTTGTGCAATTTGGTACTCAAAGGTGTTTTAAAATGGTTATTATGGTGACATAAGTTAAAGTGGGTAATCACCTTCTTTATGCTAATTAATAAACAGATTATGCTTTTTTATATTCAAATTAGCTTGTTAGTATGCACAAATGTCTGGGTGTACGTGTACGAGACATCCGTGTGTGTACATGAGATCAAATTTGGTGTGCTCTCTGTAGTTATGATAATCTTTGACCCTATATGTATTTTTGGGGCTAACCTGTATCGCTTAAATTAGTTCCAAATCATGATTTTCCCAGTCAACCTTTAGAGCATAGGGGTCTAACTCATCGTAGCCGTCGTACTCCACCATATAAATGGTATTGCCTTGCTCTGCCAAGTCAAAATCATGATCACTAATATCCAACATTTCCAGTTCGGTTGCAACTCTGACAACAGTCCCTTTATACCAACGTCGCTCTTTTTTCCCAGATTTAGTTGTTATTTCAAACCGGTGTCTAATTCGTTTGCCTACAATGTCTACAGGAAAGGGTATTGTCTTTTTAACAATGTTCTTCCTTTTTTGGGGTTGCAGCATATCTTCACTACCAGTGTGTTTCCTCTTCTTGATGTCATCAGCCTCAGCAATCAATCTTTCACGGAGCCTACTAACATCTCCATCTTTTGCATGTATGTTATTGCCTGGAGCATCCCTCAATTCTGATAGGCTTCCGGTATTCATTATTTGACTCCATTGTTCCAAAACAAATAGCAAACTTTCAGTGATGTCATCCAATGGCCTGTCTTTTCCATCTTTAGATCTACAATAATGTTTGTATGTGACATTGGGTACACTGACATTAAACTTGTAGAACTGGAGCTGGTTACACAAAGCATCAACTTGTGATGAATAATGCCCATCATACTTCTTTAGCAATTGATCAACATCTGCCTTTGTTTTACATTGTCCGTCATCTTGAATGGCATCCATTGCTGACTGTTTTCGTTTGATTCGTGTGACCTGAAGATTTTCCTTGTGTTTTTTCTTGTCTTGAATAGCTTGTACCCGTAATTCATTCAGCTTCTTTTTCCGTTGCTTATGTTTTTCAAGAAATGACCTAGC